TTTTTTTTTTTTTTTTTTTAAATTTTTTTTTTTTTCAAGTCCTTCTCTTTGGTTTTATTAAACCGCCGAGCGGAGACGGGCAGCACACAGCTGGGCTTAAAAAAAGGGGCTTTAAAACCCAGTTGGTGCCACGGGAGAGGGGGGGGGAGGTCAGTGCCCCTCCTCTCAGATCAAATACCTAACAGCAATTTTTTTAATTTTTTTTTTTCCCTCAAATCACAGAAATTCCCATTTATTTTTAACCCCGGGGCGAGAACATAAAAGCACCGGTTACGCGCCGCAGGCCTCTCGGTTCACCCCGAATATTAAATATTTAAAACCCCAACAAAAACCTCACTAAGGAGGCGGGGGGGGGTCGCTTGGTTTATAGACCCGTTTCTGAACGTTTTAAGGCTGACGCTTCACCTGGGTTGGGTTTTTTTTTGGGGGGGGGAATTTCTCCCCCTTTTGGTGAACTCCATCCTGCCCCAGCGCCGAGCCGGTGGATGCTGGAGGGTCCGTTGCGGCGGGGAGCAGCTGGTGCTGATTTTTGGAGCTGGTTGGTTCAAGGGGGCTCCTTCTGTGCGCGCCCCCCCCCTTGATGATAACGGGAAATTGTGGCTGTTTAAAACACCGGAGGTTTTGGGGGGAGTTCGGCTCAAATCTTGTAAACGGGGCAGAGTTGTGCGTGATGTTGGGGAATAAAATCAGCCAAACCAACAACAATAAAAAAAACGGGATGCTGGCGGGGCGCATCCTCCTGAAAAAGAGATCACCCCAAATCCTGAATTGCCAGAGCTGCGGGCACTTTCCTCTTCCCAAGGATTTTTTATTTTTATTTTTTTTTTTAGGGGGAGAAAAAGCAAATTTGGCACTTTGTATTTTGATTAATGAAGTTTGACCCCGTTGTGGTCCCTCTCTGAGGATGGGGTGAGCTGGGACAGGCGCCGGGGGGGGGACACGAATTTGTCCCTGGAAGGGAAGCTCCTGCTGTGAAGGAGGAAAAGGGCAAAACTCCCCAAAACTCCCCAAAAATTGTTCTCCAGGTGGTTTTTTTTTTTTCGGGGGGGGTGGACACACAACCAGGGCTCCCTTCAGGGCCCGGCCTTGCCCCTTTTTTATTGTGGTTAGTAGAATTTATAACTTTTTTATTTAAATATCTGAACGGGGTAAAAAAAAAATTAAAAAATATTGGACTTCAGGCAAGGATGAAAAAAATCTTTGAAGAATATTTTTTTTTTTTCTATGAAGGGCAGAGTTTTGGTTGTTCTGAGCCCCAAACCTCAGCTGGGTCACGCCCAACCAGCTGCATTTCTTCAGAACCACGAAGGATTTTTTCAGGTCATTTTTTGTTTCCTTTCTGGTGAAACTAATTATATTTTTTTTTCTTTTTTTTAAGGGACTATTAAATACAAATTATATTTATTGAAAGGTAATACCTACCATCAGCCAGCTCCTATCACAAACACACTAAAGCCACCGCCCGGGTGGTATTTTTACATCATGGGACTGGATTTTTTTATTTTTTTTTTTCTGCCCCTGGGAGAGGTTTTGTGTTTTTTTTTTTTTTTTCTTCCATGGGCCAGGACTGGGGAGGGGGGAGGCTGCGCCGTGATCCCGAGGTCTTAAACCAAGTGCACTTAGTGGTGAGGTCGGAGGGGACGTTCTGGCTGCGGTAAAAATTTTTTTTGAAGGGGGTAAAAAAAAAAAAAAAAGTTAATGAGCTTTTTATTTTATCAAAATTTACCTTCGCTGATATTACCCGGCCCCACGGCGCAGGGTTGGGAGGGGGGAAGTCTGATGGGATGTTTCGGTTTATCACTAATCCTACGAGAAGTGACCTGAATTAATTCTTGCCATTTGTTTATTCACAAAAGACTTTTTT